TAAAAGAAAACAAATGGAAACAATTAATATGTTTCTTCGCGGATGTTCAGACCATTAGGATCAATTGTTCAGACCATTAGAATCTAATGGTCTGAACATCCGCGAAGAAACATATTAATTGTTTCCATTTGTTTTCTTTTATTATGTTCTTTTATCACGTTATTTTATTTTACCGCATGCTTATCTTTAATTTACACTATCTATTTCGTCGCGGTGCATCATGACGCAACAAGAGAGGCCCAGTACTTTCTCGAAGTGGAGAGGAGACCCTGGGAACGAGGTTGAAAGCGAAAGAGGAAAAAATAAATTTAGTGACTGGAGCTGCCTTTTAAAAGCTGTCATTATGCTAAAAGATTCATGGTGAATCTATGCCCTATTTATGACCAAAACGGCTGCACATACCTATATAGCCCATAATTATAAGGGAGTAGCCCCATCCCCCCAGGGCCTTCACTATGCAACAGACTTCGGCACCATCTCAAGAGTCATTAAATTTTAAAAAAAATTAAGTTGGCTCTGAACTCTATGTACAGATTTTTTATAAACCTTGCCAGAAGTTGCGTTTTATCATGCTTATTAAAATTTGATATTATATAAATATTTCATCGTGCCGTTTTTGAATTATAAGCCCCTAAAGCTGTAATTGAGGGTGTTTTTAGCAGGTCATACTGTTGTGTCACAAAAATGATAACAACGTGTTCACCAATGATTGGGCAGTTTTTTGATACCGTGATTGTAGCATCAAGTGATAAAGAGTAGTTATAAACGACCCATCACAATCTAAGTGCTAGAAACTGTTTTGAGCCACCTTAAAGCGAATAACGAGATCGGGGCTGAAGAACTTTACGCATCCATCTTCATATTAACCAGTGCCAAACATGGGGATGTCCTTAGCTGACATGCACTTTATGTCTCCAATTCCTCCAAACACACACTGAAAAGAGAACGAAGAGAGCACTAAGACCTGGATGGAGAGTTACAGACCGGTGCGGCAGAGAACGGTGAGAGGTGAAACTACGAAGGATAAAGCAGGAGCTCTTCCGCCAGCAATGTACACTCAGCAAGTCCTAAGACAACGAAGGTGCATTTTCAAGCTGAGAACTCTAACCAAACGACGCCCACTGACTGAGATCCGCTCTGTCGTTGGCGATTTGTGCGCAGTAACGCTCGGGTCCGCTACCTAATTCAATCAAGTGGAAGCGAGCGAAACAGATGCAGAGGACAGTGATGATGATTTAGCTGTTGTATTAGAAAAGCTGGTCACTAGCAGGTTATTGTATGGCGTGAAATTCACTAAAGACAAACGACATCGAAAATATTCGTAATCCACAAACCTATCTAAAATGGACATAATTTGCGACCAAATTGCATGAAAGACACAAAGAAAACCCTGTGTTGAGACGAATTTCTTTTTTTCGCATTAATGACTTGTTACAGCATGTTTATCTTAAAGAAAAATTCCCGTACAAAGTCTATAAAGCAGTCGTTGCAAAACGTACTGAAGCGTGGGGGGCCTGTGGCATACCCGACTGAAAACGAGCTGGCTTATAATTTTACGAAGATGAACTTCGCAGAGGCACGTAAGCTTGCATGTTAGGAAATGACGTGGCTACATGTCGCTCTGAAATGAGATTTGAATACATCAAGGATACGTACGACCTAGCTGTTTAAAATACTTTCCACGAACAGAAGAGATCCAAGCAACCAGAGAGGCCGCGCACAATATCCGTATATTACAAAGAACACGCAGGTCACGTTTTGTCAGGTTGCAAATATTGATGGCATCTACTTCGATCAGTCAGAGAATTGCAAAAAGAATGGATTTTGACTCCGCACTAGAACACATTGGAGGATTTGGCCGCCATCAACTACGCATCTATTTCGTAGTGAGTCTCATCTCTCTTCCCCTTGCTGCTCAAATGCTGATTGTTGTTTTCGTTGGAGCAGTCCCCGAGTGGAAATGCCCTTCTCCAGAAGGCGACATTTTACATTGCAACTCCAGCCACGCACGTTGTTGTGACAAGGATGGTTCTATTTGTCCCGGAGCAGAATTTTCCACGGAGTTCACATCCATCGCGACAGAATGGAACTTAGCGTGCACGCATCGCTACAAATGCGAGCTAAGTCAATCGATCTTTGTGGCTGGGTACATGTTCGGAGTTCTAATCTTCGGTATTTTGTCCGACAAATATGGCCGACGTAAGCCGTGGCTTTTCGCTTATATAGTTGGAGGTGTTTTAGCACTGATGTCTGCATTTGTGGGGACCTATGAAGAGTACATCGCTTTGCGATTCGCTATGGGTGTTATGAATGGCGGAGGAGGCCTTATCACTTACGTGCTATCGACAGAATCAATCGGTCCTTCTTATCGAGGTAAGTGAAATTTTGTAACTGTCTACTGTCTACTGTTGATTTTGCATATTTTGTAGTTAGCTTTTTCCTGAGTTTTTGAAAGTGAAATTTACAGCGGTTTTTTGCTTCCAATTTGTTTTAGAGCGCCATGTTGATTTTATTTTGCGTGACACAAATGCTCTGTCACGCAATTCAAGTTAGTACACTTAGATGATGTCCTCCGTTCCCTCTCGAAAATAAGACCATTAAAACCCCCTATTTACAAATGTACGCCCAGCATTTAGTATTGGAGTTTTATGGTATTTTCATACTAGAAAGATACAAAATAATACAATTCTAGCTGTTTAAATGCGTTTTTGAGTAGGAGACTTTATCCTCAAGCTACCCAGTGCCTCTCTGCATGGGCACTGAAAAATTGAATGCTCAAGGGCGGAGGGGAGTGAGAGGATATTCTTTTGGATAAACTAGCATCCCATCCAGGGGTAGTAACAATACTTTTAGAGGTTTCATGCTAATTGGAAATACTTG